GGGGGGGGGGGAAACCTTCAGTAGAGGGAGTAAATCCTAAATGAGGCTATGAAGAGTTCTACCCTTGAGAAGTAGGTCACGATCAGACGCCACCAACCCTGGTTGTAACCCAACCCATCAGATCTATCATGTGATATACCACAAGAGTATTCTAGTTGACAAGAGTCAAGTAAAAACACAAATAAATAAATGTGTTTAAAAAGGTAAGAAGAAGACAAATATAAATCTTCTAATAATTTAACAATCAGGTAAAAAAAAACTTAACAGTAAACAGATCTTCAATTAAAGTTGTCCCAGAGTATTTGAGTCAAATAAATCAAAGGCCACATTGAACGCCATCATTTGTTCATGTGCATCAAATCAGATTTTAAAAGGAGATCATTGGCTCCACCAAGTAAACAAGAAATTGAATGTCTGCAGATAAAAATTATTGAATACCTCCTCAAACTCCCTGACAACATCACCATCAACTGAAACAGATCGAAAAGTATCAATGGCCAACAGTGCCAGGTAACTTATCAGAGGTCAGTGTGTAACAATTATCTTATAATTACATTTTAAATGATTCATGTTTCACAGTTTTAGATATCATCACCATCATCATCACTGTCGTGATCATCACCATCATCGTTATCATCTTCAAAATCCTCATCAGAATATTCCTCGTCATCTTCTACTACAGCCCCGCTGCTGATTACACGCTCCCTATGTTCCTTTTCATCAGATCTCTCCTCCTCCTCCTCAGATCTCTCCTCCTCTTCAGATCTTTCCTTCTCCTCAGGTCTCTCCTCCTCTTCAGATCTTTCCTTCTCCTCAGATATCTCCTTCTCCTGGGTACCAGGTTTATTTGGTGTTAGCTCGGACAGAGATGACTCTGGAGAAATGTGCTCAGATTCAGAGTTATCCGATGAGTGATTTGAAGTGTCCTTTACCTTGACACCTGTGTTATTCACCATGGTGGCCTTGGCAGCAGTGTTAATCACCACGACCTTGTCGGAAAGGTCATCGGGCAGAAGCTGCACAGATTCCCCAGAATATTTAAACGTGTTTATCTTCTGGGGTGAAAACTGTGCCGTCTCATGGAACTTGTTCTGTTTCGGGCTCTCCGGGGAGGCCATTGGGTCAAAGTTCACACCAGGAGCATCCCCGCCGCCCCAGCCCTGCTGGCGGGGACTCACTAACCCTTCCTCCCGTGTCAGAGTGCCGGTAATGTCGCCACCTCGTGAGGTCAAGCTGACATCAGCCGCAGCTTTGTCCACCATGAACTCAGACTTGAACATGTCATTGGCTATTGCCTCATTGACTGACTCCAGCTCCCTGGCCACTTCCTGGAGGCAATCATCGAGAATTTCGTCAGATATTCTGTAAAAAATTTTTAGAATAAAAAAATCATAGAAAATTTTTCCAGAATGTTCAGGTGAGGTGTTGGGCACAGTGGGTACAGAGGAAAGGTGGTTGTTGTTGCTGTTGTTGTTGCTGCTGTTATTGGGAGCACCTGGGCCAGAACATTTGGGCTTTGTGACTTAGTTTGACTTATTTGATACACTCATAATAACTTGACATGATCTCAGATTTATGGCGCTCAGTAATTTCCTGTGTCTCTCCTCCACACCAAATTAAGGAAAAGGTAACTGAAGCCCAGCAAGAGTTATCCCTGTACAATACCAGTAACTTTTTTAAAGAGAGGAAGCTGACCTGACATTTTTCATAAACACAGGAAATATAACAAAGACAGTCACAGCCATTGGTAAGAAATGATCGGCCTATGAGTTATTTTAGGACACTGTAACACAGGCTTTATCAGACAGTGCAATGGAGGGATTATAAAATGATGGAGTGGAGATTATGTAAAGGAGACATTATAGGACAATGTAAAGAAAAAAAAAGAGATTATAGGTCAATGTAAAAGAGAGATTACAGGACAGTGTAAAAGAGAGATTATAGGCTGTGTAAAAGAGAGATTATAGAACAGTGTACAAGAGAGAGATTATATGACAAAGAAAAAGAGAGATTATAGGACAGTGTAAAAGAGAGATAATAGTACAGTGTAAAAGAGAGATTATAGTACAGTGTAAAAGAGAGATTATAGTACAGTGTATAGGAGAGTTTATAGAACAGTTTAAAAGAGAGATGATAATGATAAAGTAAAAGAGAGATTATAAGACAATTTGTAAAAGAAAGATGCTATGACAAAGTAAAAGAGGGATTATATGACAAAGTAAAAGAGGGATTATATGACAAAGTAAAAAAAAGATTATCAAAGAGAGTCTCACTCCTCTACAAGTTTCCATGGGTCAAAATGGCCAGACGGATGGTGTGATCGCTTCCGAAGATAACTCTCGTATCTCTGACGCTCCAACTGGATTTTTTCCACCGCTGTTTGGCTAAAGGTCAACATTTTCTTAGACGCCACTACTTTTTGCTTCTCCACAACATGGGTGTTGATTTGTCTAACTTGATGGCTGCTGTCCTGTCTGGTGAAGATGAGGGGCTCTTCTGTCCATGCTGTACGCTCTGGCCTGGAGTAGAAGATTACCGAAGTTCTACATTTATGGAGTTAATAATTTTATAAATTACTTTTGAATTTAACGAGCAAAATAGCAATGGGAAGCGTCTTCAAAATTCTTAAAACTTATAATTATTTATTTCAAGATTTTAAACAGCATGGTTGCATAATAATTTTCATAATTAGTGCAGTAAGTTCATAAAAAAAAAAATTAATATGTCTCAAAATTTACATTTTAAAATTATGATTCTTTCAATGTTGCAAAAAGAAAACAACTAAATATAAAAGAAATGGAAAACAACTGAATCTTTGTCAGTTGAAATATGACATGATCTTTGTCAATTGAAATATGACAGAGATCTGTGTGAGTTGAAATATGACATGATCTGTGTTAGTTCAAATATGACATGATCTGTGTCAGTTAAAATATGACATGATCTGTGTCAGTTGAAATATGACATGATCTGTGTCAGTTGAAATATGACATGATCTGTGTCAGTTGAAGTATGACATGATCTGTGTCAGTTGAAATATGACATGATCTGTGTCACTTGAAATATGACACGATCTGTGTCACTTGAAATATGAGATAATTTTGTTTTAATCTTTTTCCGATCAAGGAAATTATCTTCAATTTTTTTTTTCTTTTGTAAAACTGGCAACACTACCTTTAATGTAAACATAAAAAAAACATTTATTACCATTGTCAGGAAAATAAAATAATGAAATAGGAAAATTTGCAAATGAAGATCATATTTTATGGAATAAAAGACACCGACAAGACACTGGGTGGGTAAAGTTTCATAAATTCAGAGCACATCAAATCAATGGTGTAACAAACCCTCTGGAACTGTGCTTCCCATCCAGTGCAGTCATTCTTGTGACCTGAATGGCCGGAGGGTTACGGGGTGCATGCTCACCTGGGCAAGTCAAGTAAAATATTAGAATAGGATTGCAGGAGAAACATGGAGATTACAACATTAAAATAAGTGTAAAAATGGGGTGCGGTTGGGGGGGACGGGGGGGACGACGACAACACCTGAATGATTATTTGTATATTTTTTTTTACTTTTCATGTCAGTAAAAGTGCAAAGATGTTTTTCCCAAACCATCATGAGGTCTGTATCATGGCAGAGATATTTAGGATGTCACACACCAATACAACTCCTATTGTTGTAACTTACAAACATGGATTGCAGTGAAGCTATTGAAACCTAGATAGTGTTGAGCTAACTCACATTCAAGAAAAACGAACCCAATCATTTCATTTCACTGTTTTTGAATATTCTTTTAATCTATTGTCCTAGAAAGTAATTGTTTTTTTCCTGTAACAAGCAAAGATTCAAAGATTACAAGAGCTGTTATTTTTATGATGTGTAATTTAATTCAATTTAATTTAAAGTTCCCTTTAATGAGCCTCTAAAGGAAAAATGGTGTAAAATGATTACTTGATGTCAGTCTTTTAGATCTCTGTTGCACATCAGCAAACTTAAGAGAAGACCATCTCTCACTAATTTCTCTCTGCTCTCTCTTAAAGAAAGGGAAAAAAACGACAAGTTCAAATAAAGTAAATAATTCTCTAAACCTACGAGAGGGCACAGCTGTGTGGGGTAAAATTAAGATCAGTGTCAATTATTTATTGATGGCAAGTTCTGAATAGTGTTCTCTACTATGTTTATTGATGCCATGTTGTGGATAGTGTTCTCTAGAATGTTTATTGATGGCATTTATGTATAGATGTATCCTTAGTTTACTTATGTGATGTTCTGAATAGTGTTATGTAAAATGTTTATTGAGTCTGTAAGTGCAGCCCATCAGCAAGTAAAGTTGACATCGGATTTTTTAGGGTAAGCACTATTAATTTGGTTGCCATAAACAACAACTTTGTTAACAAGAAATACAAGTATTTAATCAAGAACATAAGTTAAAACTTGTTCATTGCCAACAAACTTCAAATGGACACCAATGATTACATTTAACATAGATTGATCCCTTTGAACAAGGACAATTTGATTTAATCAACCTTTGTACGGAATGTATTATTTCTACTATGTGTGATCTGCCGTTTTAAAAATTTAAAAGCTGTAACAGTATAACTGTGTGTGTGTGTATGCTGTTTTGATGTTGGATGGAATCAATTGAGAGGCAACAAATGTAGAGATATTACGGACGAGTGTAGACAGCCGTATTAAGAGGTCGTGTTATGAGTTTGTGCTATAGTAAAGTGTGTGATCATTGTGAGGACAGAAGTAAAGATAATTAATGAACACAGAAGTGAACACATATATATTTATGGATATCCTGTGTTATAAGTGAATTTATTTATTTATCATGTGAATTCGATCTTATTGTAATAAAGTGCCTAATTCATTATCATGTGACTCTGTATTTCATTTGACTACATTGGTGATATGGCAGTACATATTTCTTTTTGGGTATAAAATTTTCATGCACTTTCCTATTACAACTTAATACCTGCATTTCATTGAGCCTAAGTTTGATATTCTCCAAAGTTGGGGCATCAACTAATGAAACTGCTTCCGCACGGATTTCTTCCTCCACAAGGTGGTCAGACCAATCACCAAGATCGACCGAACTTGTGCGCTCATCAACTTCTGACTGCAATAATAGAGTAATGTGTTTTAATAAATTTTAAAATATGAAAATGGTTTAAAGAAATGTGTTATTTCAGGCAAGCTATAAATACAATGAGTTTGGAAAGAGAGTGACCATTATTACAGTCACACTCTCCTGTCACTAAGGTGAAAAATGTTTACACTCTTTACCAATATTTTCTGGGATTCCAACTTTTTTGAGTTGCCCTCGTATGTTCTTGACACTCCATTTTGTTTCAGCAATCTGGAGAGCAAGCGATGTTCAACTTCATCAATGAAAGAGTTGGACACATCAGCAGACCTGCAGAAAATGTTTGATCAAGAAACCGTTTAAATGTCACATATTTATAAAATGAATATACTCTTAAAATACTCCCTGTGAATACTTTTAAAATACTCTCAAAATATCATGGTGTTTATAAGCTACTTTTTACACAACAATCATTGTCTTCATCTTTAAATACACAGTGCATAAAATTGGTGCAAGGGATTTTTGACTTGGTGACTAAAATAATTTTTCAGTGAGATACTAGATATGGAGTACAACCACGTAGATATGGGGTATAACCACATAGATATCCGGAACAACCACGTAGATATGGGGTACAACCACATAGATATCCGGAACAACCACGTAGATATGGGGTACAACCACATAGATATGGAGTACAATCACGTAGGTAAATAACTGTTTATTTTCTGTGAGAAAAGATCAAGTAGATTAGTTCTGCTTTCATATCATTGGTCACTGCCATGGTTTAGCTATGTAAACATTGACTGGAAGACTGTACGGTAAATTTAAATATATCGTTGGGTCTGTTTTCATTGGTCCTACTCAAATTACTGGAATCAAGTATATAAAAAAAAAAACAATTATGATTTAGGAACCACCAGGATTTTTAAAAAGTAGGCAGTATCCACAATCAATCTACTCTGTTTTACAAAAATGTGGACCTTCATCAATGCCAACAAGCAGGTATAAACACAAGGTCAACCTCAATGAACCACTCCATTATTTAGTACGTACCTAAGTCTGCCAGTTTCTGGAAGGGGCCTGAATCCACAGTTTGATGATGTGCCAATCTTGGACTAAACAAAACAACAGGCAGTGTAGATATCATAAAAGTGTAATATGGATACTAAACATATATTGTATATATTTGTATTTTGATTATAATGGTAAGAACAGTTTTATAATCGGACTAAAAGTTTTTATTTTATCGCATATTATGATACAAACATGGCAAGAGTGCGGTTTTAAGAAAAGTTTTAAAAGGTCAGTTAATGGGTAACGCACAACCATGTAATTGTGTAAATCGTAGCTATCGGATTCAGTATCAAAGAATCCCTATTATAATTGCCACTAGTGTTTACGAGTGAGGGAAATTCCAAGCCTGTCAGCTTGGTCACTTTCAAATAGAGTTAGTCAAAAAGGCTTTTCTACACACAAAAAATCAAAATTCATTCTCCCTACAATAGCTTCTTCCTTCGCAACAATAATTCATAAATATTTTCTGCTCCTGCTTACTGTATGAACACATTTTAGCATTTAAAGCCTTCATGGACCTTCAACAACCACCACTATGAGGTGGTTGTTCCTGCACTAAGTGATCCCAAATGGCTCATGGACTTGGCTTTTCTTGTTGACATTACACAGGAGATGAGTGTACTCAACAAGAAGTTACGAGACCAGGGGTAGCTTGTCAGTGTTGCCTATGACAATTTCAGGGCATTCTGCACAAAACTTGTGTTATGGTTCTTAAAGAAACCTCTGCCAGTTCCCAACATGCAAAGTATTCATGGACTCAGGCACACCATTCAGTAGTAAGTATACTGATGCCATTGCAAAGCTAAAGGAAGAATTTGATCACATTTTTTAGACTTCAAAACACACACAGCCACTTTTAAACTTTTTGCTGAGCCTTTCTCCTTTAATGTGGAAGATGCCCCCCCCCCCCCCCATTTTTTTTTTTTTTTTTTTTTTTTTTTTTTTTTTTTTTTTTTTTTTTTTTGTTTTTTTTTTGCACTTCAAATGGAGCTGATTGATCTTCAGTGCAATTCTAAGTTCAGGGAGTGAATGGAGAGACAGACACTCATGGGCAGTTTATGGGAGCATTGCCCTCCTCCTTCCCTGAGATTTCCAGGTTGCTCAAGCGGTTCATGTGCCTTTTTTGAGAGGACCTATCTGTGTGAAAAGCTCTTTTCCCACTATGAACTTTGACAAGTGAAAGGTCAGGGCCAAACTTACCGATGAGCATCTTCAAACTATACCGAGGGTCTCAGTTGATTTCTCACTCAAGCCAAATGTTGCTCAGCTGTGTAAGAAGAAGCACTGCCAGGTCTCTGGCAACAATGAGTAGGAGGAAGAAAGTCAAGCCTAGTTCTTGAGAACCCTTAATGTTTTTATTTGCTTTTTATAAAGGTTGAGCAGATTGTCACAGTTGTATGTTATTGAGTTTGTAGTTGCTTTTTTGTGGAATACTTGATGCGGCCCAGTCTCATTCAGACTCTACCTCCTGCGGCCCCCGGATGATTTGAGTTTGAGACCCCTGCTCTATGCAGTGGTGTTACTAGGATAGGGATGGTGTCCCACAATACAGTTTTATAGTGTCGCCCCAACCATCATCCTATCCCAGGCCATACAGAACCCTCCGTTATGATAAAAATTTCAAAAGGCATTTGTTCTGGTGTCGTCCCTCCAAGTCGTGATGCCTGTCTGGTCCACACCCTTAGCACCCACCCAAAGACGCCGCCGCCACTTTGCATCAACTATTTTCTAATAAATAAGAAAAGCATATTTACCCCAGCAGTCTGCTTGTCTGGAAACATTTCCCTACGAATAGACAAATAACTATTGTTACAACAATACGTTATAACTATTCTTTCAAGCATACTTAAAAGTAGTTTAAATCTGATCACATTTTTTATTGGTGACTTGGGCTCCATGCACATTTTCAATTGAATTATATATATATAAAAAAAAAAAGATTGCTTGAAAATGTTCTGTTATGAACTGGTGTGGAGCGTGTTTTGGGTCCTGTTGCTTGGTCATGAATGGGGGAATGGTTTTCTGTGGGGGCCTGTTGTGATTGGTTGCTGGTACAGTTCAGTAAACAAAGTCAGATGAAGAAATGCCGGGTGAACATGGGGCCCCGAGTCTGCAGGTTAAGTTGGTGTTGAGAGTTCTCAGAACCGAAAGCGGTTTTAGGTTGCTGCTGAGTATTCCTGAGTGTTGTTGTTAGACGATCGTAGTGGGGTTCGGATTGGGGTGTCAGCCATCTTGTTGGCTGTAAGCGCGGAGTTTTCATTGTGTGCAGCTTGTGCTTTTGAACACAGTGCAATATCAAAGAAGAATGTAGTAGATAGAGAAATTAGAGAAATCTACTATTCCCCCCCCCCCCAAAATTTTTTTGTTATTGCATGTCATCATCCAGTGTGGGCAGGAGGACAAAAGCATAAGCTAGACAGAGTTGTTCCCCCCGGTGGACATTGACCCATCAAACTGCCCGGCAGTAGACTCATCTAGTGGGGGGTTTAATTACATTTTCCTTTAAAATCATGATTTGAATATTGTATCTGGAAAAAAACTGTTTAACTGTGTAACTCTCACTTTAACTGTGTAACTCTCACTTTAACTGTGTAACTCTCACTTTAACTGTGTAACTCTCACTTTTACTGTGTAACTCTCACTGAATCAAGATTAAGACAGGAAAGAATTAACAGTACAGATAAAAAAAAATAGACCTTGGCTGTCTCAAATGATGACTAAAAATTTCTACCTGACATCGCCATCTGGTACTTGGGCAACATAAAAAGGAGATTCTGTACAATTTGAAGGGGATGAGTTGGTGCTCCGCAAGTGGAGTGGTGACGTTGTTGGATGGCCAGCCAGGTCAAAGTTCACACCTTTCCTCTTGCTAAGAAAAGGAGGATGAAGAATTTCACAGGTGTGTGTCTGTGTGTGTATGTGCGTGTGTGTCAACTTTATTGACGTGTTTTCAGGAACATGTCATGGGACACAATCAAGGATTTTGTTGTCCTGCATTGAGCTTTAATCTTATTCTATTTCTTTGACAGTAGTTGACAACCCTTTATAAGAGCTGCTCTATTTCTTTGACAGTAGTTGACAACCCTTTATAAGAGCTGCTCTATTTCTTTGACAGTAGTTGACAACCCTTTATAAGGGCCGCTCTATTTCTTTGACAGTAGTTGACAACCCTTTATAAGAGCCGCTCTATTTCTTTGACAAATGTTTAGTGGCTGCAAGCAAGGCATATTATTTACCTGGGTGATAAAGGTTCAGAACTGGCTTTGTCAAACTTAGCTGCTGCCATTTCAATCCATGCCCTCCTCTGATTGGACAATGCGTCTTGAACTTGTTCTTTATTCTGTAAATTGTAGCACATTATTCAATACAATTAACTAAAACATATGTGAAATTATTCAGTGGCATAAAAAAAAAAAGAAAGATAGACTGATTTAATGAGCTGCAATTAATGTCAGAGTCTAATTTAGTTTTATTTATTTATTTATTTGAAAATCCCTTTAAACAGGATGTATCACATTTTAAAAACTGTTTTGCAGACAGGCACAGAAGGGCCAGAGAGAAACATGCAGACAGGCACAGAAGGGCCAGAGAGAAACATGCAGACAGGCGCAGAAGGGCCTAAGAGGAACATGCAGACAGGCACAGAAGGGCCAGAGAGAAACATGCAGACAGGCACAGAAGGGCCTGAGAGGAACATGCAGACAGGCACAGAAGGACCAGAGAGAAACATGCAGACAGGCACAGAAGGGCCTGAGAGGAACATGCAGACAGGCACAGAAGGGCCAGAGAGAAACATGCAGACAGGCACATATTCCTGAGAGGTACATGCAGACAGGCACAGAAGGGCCTAAGAGAAACATGCAGACAGGCACAGAAGGGCATGAGAGAAACATGCAGACAGGCACAGAAGGGCCTGAGAGGAACATGCAGACAGGCACAGAAGGGCCAGAGAGAAACATGCAGACAGGCACAGAAGGGCCTGAGAGGAACATGCAGACAGGCACAGAAGGGCCAGAGAGAAACATGCAGACAGGCACAGAAGGGCCAGAGAGAAACATGCAGACAGGCACAGAAGGGCCTGAGAGGAACATGCAGACAGGCACAGAAGGGCCTGAGAGGAAAATGCAGACAGGCACAGAAGGGCCTGAGAGAAACATGCAGACAGGCACAGAAGGGCCTGAGAGAAACATGCAGACAGGCACAGAAGGGCCTGAGAGGAACATGCAGACAGGCACAGAAGGGCCTGAGAGAAACATGCAGACAGGCACAGAAGGGCCTGAGAGAAACATGCAGACAGGCACAGAAGGGCCTAAGAGAAACATGCAGACAGGCACAGAAGGGCATGAGAGAAACATGCAGACAGGCACAGAAGGGCCTGAGAGAAACATGCAGACAGGCACAGAATGGCCTGAGAGGAACATGCAGACAGGCACAGAAGGGCCTGAGAGAAACATGCAGACAGGCACAGAAGGGCCTGAGAGAAACATGCAGACAGGCACAGAAGGGCCTGAGAGAAACATGCAGACAGGCACAGAAGGGCCTGAGAGAAACATGCAGACAGGCACAGAAGGGCCAGAGAGAAACATGCAGACAGGCACAGAAGGGCCTGAGAGAAACATGCAGACAGGCACAGAAGGGCCTGAGAGAAACAATCATTTTAAGAGGTACTTTTTTTTTAGCTAATATACTTACCATGGCAGGATTCCAGGTTGATTGTTCACCAATATTTGGTCCTCTGTAGGGAGCAGTACTGGGCCTTTGTTTCTGATGGACTGTTCCTACTGAAAAGCCTTGCTGCTTCGCTGAGTGAGTGGGGACAAGTAGTAGATGTTATTTGGGGCATTTATTGCTTTGGTTTAAAAAATTTTATAACGAAATGTTTTCTTCTAATTTTAAAGATTGTTAAGCGTACATTTAGCAAAAATATAATTTAAAACGTTATAATCCATGTGGTTGTGTAACAATAAAATGGAAATGATATTGAAGCACAAATTGAACCTGAAACAAAATAGCCAGTTAAAAAACCTAATCAGATGACTAGTTTAAATGTAATTTAGTCCTAACTTTTCAAAAATATCATTCTTAGGACAAAAACGACAAAGTTCTAAAGTTTCACATTTAACACCAAGTCCATTTTCATAAGGAAGCCAAAATGGAATTATGACAGAAAAATCAAACTTACTTTTGGGAGCCAATGCAGATCTATTTTCTTTTCCTAAGGGTCCTTTACCCGGCTTCCTCAGCTGTGGCTTAGGTTGGCATGTCTGGCGAGCCTTGTGCTTGAGCTGATCACTTGCTTTCTTTGGATAGGTTTTAAACACTTGCTTATTTTTGGTGGCAAAAATATCCTTCGCCACTTTAGTGTCACTGATCCAGTCATGGCTGATCCCAGATTTCTTAGACCTGGCCAAACCTGATGTTTGGTTTAAATGTGAACACCACTTAACATTCAAATTCTGCAGATAACAATTACAATTTAGTGAATATACAAGTAGAAAAAAAAAGACAGAATTTAACCTCAAAATTAATTTTTTTAAATAGAAATTCGATTTGAGAGGATTTTTTTTTTTTTTAAAGAGTTAGGAAAATAATTTTGTTTAATAGAAATGCATATTTTATAATTGATCCTTTGAATGAAACAAAAGAGCTGGACAAACTCATGGATCTTGCCAAACCCAGGGCTTAACTCAAAATATATTGGAATTCATTGAAAAGATTGCTACTTGTACTAATTATCAGAGTAGAAACTTATGAGTTTTATTTTCTTTCATTTTTTACATAACATGGCTTTTTGAACGTACCGCTCTAGCATAACTTTTAAAATAATTAAATAGTTAAACAAATACTTGAGAAACTAATACATTTTCCCAAATTTTGGCCGGCATTTGAAACAAATGCTTCATGGATGACCTGGCAGTTTGTGCCACGCTCTGGTCGGCATGTGAAACAAATGCTTCATGGATGACCTGGCAGTTTGTGCCACGCTCTGGCCGGCATGTGAAACAAATGCTTCATGGATGACCTGGCAGTTTGTGCCACGCTCTGGTCGGCATGTGAAACAAATGTCTCATGGATGACCTGGCAGTTTGTGGCATTCACTACCGTAATATAATATCCATATTGATATTTGAGAAATGAGCTTACATCTATGCTGTTCAGTAATGACTCCAAACTCCTGTGATCTTCAGGCAAGCCTATATCTTGTGTCAAGGTAATGAGCCCACCAAGCTGGCGTAGTAATACGGCCAGGTCACAGTAGTGAGGGGGCAGGCCAGACTCCAGCCTTTGGAAGGGGAGATGGCTGACAAATACCTGGATAGCTTTGGAGGCGCCTCGAAGGATGGCAGGCAACTGTGACGTTATCTGAGCCTGAGAGGAAATGAAGAGAACTTGTTTGTCAACTCACAATGGATTTAACACACTTTATCATGTACATTTGTTTTCCTAGCATCAAATGGAAAGAAAAAAAACTAACCAATCTTTAAGCAAAACCTAGTTATTACCATTTATGATATCCATATTTATAAAATTATCCATATTTATAAAATAATTTTTTCATCTAACCAGAACCTCATAAAATGAATCTGTCAATTTTAAAAATCACATAGAAAGAGCTTGGAGTCAAAAGGTACAAACCTTTCTAATGGCATTTGTTAAATCTGTTGTGGGAATATCTTTTTGCAGCTTTTTGACCTTTTGTGTCAGATTGTAAACTGTTCGAATGCATCGTATCTTATGTTCCTCAGCTCGAGTTTGAGCTCGATGAATATCTTCTTCCACACTAAGGAAGCCTTCTTTTTGCTTACAATTGACAGGTGGTAGGAGGAATGCTAAACTGTGTTCTAAATTTGTATGCAAGGCGAGATTCATGTAAGCACATTAGCCACTTAAACAATGAGAGAGCTATTACATAGATTAAAGCACATAAACTATGGGCAAAAATTTCAAAATATAAATGAAAGGACTGCTTTCAAGCTTAGTAAATGAATACTGTTGGCTGAGGAAGGCTTTATGCCGAAACGTCCTTGTTTTTTGTCCTGTTATCTTATTCAAGCTTCACACATACCTCGTTTTGCTATTTTATTCAAAAATTTCAACAAGCATGCCTGCATTGTATAGTTTATATTAACTTGCTTAGCTTCTCAGATACTGCTTCTCAGCTAAGTGCTATTTTGTTTATTTAATTCTCTGTTTTTTCTGTTGTTTGTTTGCTGACGAGGCTTCATGCCGACACGTTTGTTGTATTTGTTATTTCAGGTTTGACCATACTTTGTTTTACTCATTTCTTATCTTGCCTATAACAGGTGAACACTTATCCATGACAAGAATGTATTACCTGATACGGCTCTACTTAGAACAGCTTCAAGTAGATGAAGGCATCCTGTGATTTCCATCTGAAGTTTTATCATCTCATCTTTCACTACAGGACCTGCCTCAGGGGGGACAGTTTTCACTGGGAAATACACATCAGAGCCCCCTGTGGTGTTCACAGATTCTGCAAACATATATTTCATAATCATTCAAGAACTGAGAGCAGAATTAATCATTCAAGAACTGAGAGCAGAATTAATCTTTCAAAAACTGAGAGCAGAATTAATATTAATATCTTATTTTACAAAGAAACTGATCATTTTCTTTAAGCCCTCTTGGAAAGAAGAATTGAGTTTAAAATATTTTTACAAGTCTGAAATGCTCTGAAACAATAAAGAATATTTTCACCTCAGTATGTAGCCCAACAATTACAAGTCAATGTGTTTTTGTATCAATTTCAATATCTGGATGATTTGAGTCTCGAAGTAAATTGTGAATGAAAAAAAAAATCCTTACTTAAGGTTAAGTAAGCCTACAAATGTCAATATTTATTAACATGATAACTGGTGAAAACCAATTATGACAGTCTAAACCCTCAATTATAAATCAGATTTAAATGTTACAAATTAATATTTACCGTACATATAATTATTTCCGATGTGAAATTATGAACAATAATAAAGTTTCTCTCAGTATTTTTTTTTTCTTCTTTTTTTTTTGTTGAGATTATATGCCGTAAGTATATTTTAATTCAGTTCAACTTTCCTCCTCAAAAACTATCTAAGCCAGATAAAATTTGGACCTAATTTGACCTGATATTTGATTTTCAACAAAATCCTTTCTGTGTTTCATATAAACAAGCCAGCCAACCAATCTACAACCAAGCAACGAACTGAGACTTAATATGTCCAAAAATTCTTAAATATAACCAAGCCAGCCAACCAATCTACCAACCAAGCAACGAACTGAGACTTAATATGTCCAAAAATTCTTAAATATAACCAGACTCCCCAAATCCATAGAGAAATAAAAAATATTACAGACAGCTATGTCTGTAAGATGGAAAGAACAGAGAAGATATGATGATGATTAACATACTACCATTTCTTGCAGACAGGACTGAATCATCTCTCTTATAATACATGGTGGGTTTTCTAGGGGGTGGGGTCTGTACAGCACCAAAAACACGATTCTTCCCAGTCTCTTTGACTGTTAGTTGATTGTTAGGTTTATTCTTTAACCTGGCATCACTAATACGACTCTGCCCTTGGTGGCGAGATGAGGCGAATGTCTGAGGATTTCTAGCCAGGCTCTGAGCTTCATCTGCACTCTGAGATTCAGCTGCTCTCTGTCAATTAAAATTTTGAAAATATATAAAAGAAATCTTTCTCAAAAAGCATACTAATACTGGTGTTACAATTATCTGTTGTTTTTGTTTAATGTGAAGTTCTGAAACTTTTCAATTAATATTCCCCCTTGACCTCACTGTGAAGTGTCCCCACAATTTTTTCTGCTGATGTCACAATTTTAATAATTAACATATCCGCTTTAGTAGCTTCTCAGAACCATTGTTGAAGCTTCCCATACCCAAGGGTTCAGGACAGGGGTGGGCAAACTTTTTGGGCGGAGGGCCACATTGACACTTGTAAAACTATTGGGGGACCGCATGTATATTGTGTCCAATTTTTACATGCGGATAAACATTTCTCTGAAATTAAAATCAGTAAATTTGCATTTTAGCATTACATGACAAAAGTCAGGGACTGTTAAAGAAAAAGAAAATTAGAAAGAAAGATGATAAAAAATGTTAAAACAATCATAACGGTACGTGAAATTCAGTATAATTCAACAAAATAGCTTAAAAACAAAGTAATTTTTTAAAATTTCTAAATGCCTTCGGGGGCCGCATAATATCTAAAGCCTGTGGGCCCTAGTTTGCCCACCCCTGGTTTAGAAATCTGCCTTTTAAGGTTTTTACTAAGCAGGAAGTAGGCAACATTACACTACCTTAGCTTGTAAATATCCATTGTGTATATCTCGTCTTGCAAGATGTGACATCATAGACATTTTATCTTCTGATAGTATGGAATAATTTACACCTGATTCTCTTGTTGGCTCTTTAAGAAAAAAAAATTCAAGATGTATTCATTTATTAGTAGTATTAAACAAATTGTTAACAACAGAAACTGCAGAGTAATTTGCACTTGGTCAAGATATTTTTTTCCAATGGATTTAAAAACATAAATCCTAAAGTCTCAAGCTTATACAAAACAAAAGACTAACAAAAGACTAAATTCTAACTTTCTTTTCAATGTGTAGAAGAAATAATATTAGAAAGATGTTAGAGAAAAAGCAACTTTATTTAATCCATTGCCAGGTGGTAAAGATAACTGAAGATTACATCCATTAAGCAAATATTAAAAAATAATGAGTACATAATTTGTATATTCCACTGGGCTATATCTAAAGCAAACCTGAATGTTGAGCTGAAACTTTTCCAGGTATTCCATGTTGGCCGGATATTCTCTCCACTAGAATTGGCCGAGGCTGCTGAAACTGAACACCCATGTTCTCTGTTGTTATTGGAACACCTAGATTAAACTGCAGTTGGTTCTGATAAGGAATTTTATATGGCAAAAATGATGCCATAGTTTTAAAACTAAACTTTTTATGCAGAGGTCAAAGAATTCCTTGCAATCTCGTTAACATCTCTGTAAAAAAGAAAATCAGATAAACTTATAATATGTGCATGCAAGATGAACTTTATTTTTTTCTAACAATTACAAGGATTATGAACAATTACAATCAATTAGTTCCCATCTATCCCTGTGGTGCTACAGCCCATGTAGGGCTTTAGCCTGCCTCACCACTTTCTTCCACTTAGACCTAACTAATGCTTTTCTTTTCCATGCTTGCATACCCAGCTGTTGTAGATATTTTTCCACATCATCCATCAATCGAAGCCTATGTCTGCCTTTCAGCTGTTTTCCTCTGGGGTTTTAGTGGTGCATCCTCTTCACTCCACTGTGATTTGGTATTCTTTTTCAGTGTCCCGCCCAGCGTACCCTGCTCTTTTTTATTTCTGCTACTAGCATGGGATCCTGATATAGATTATACATTTCCTGGTTGGTTCATATTCTCCATCTATTTTCATGTTGGTCCATATATTTGCCAGAGAAATTTTCACTTTCGTGTGTTTAATAGGTTTCCTGCCATTTTGTTAAGGTCCACGTTTCACTTGCGTATGTTACAATTGGCCTGATTACAGTTTTATAAATAGTATTCTTTGTTTTTCTTGTAATGTTTTTACTTTTGAGCCTTTTCTGACTACTCATGTATGCCCTGTTTCCGGGTGATATTCTTTCTTTTATTTCTGTTAGCATTTCGTTTCTTTCATTTAAAAAAGATCCTAGATATTTGAATTGATATACTTTTTCAAAAGTGTGGTTTCTAATTTTAATGGTTTCATCTGTCTGTTCTCTTATCATAGTCATGTTTTGTGTTGTTTGATTGTTAACTTCCTCCAGCCCTGCTTGTAGTATTTTAAATCAAAAAGCCATTTCATATGTCTTTACCCCTTTTCCTGATGGCACCGATGCTTCAGAGTATTCTCTAATTGAAATCCATTAAGCCAACTTAATTATTTAATTAATTATAAATATAAAGAGTTTTCTTAAATAACAATTCACATTAAAAGGCAAAAAAATCAGCTTCATTTTATTTGGTAAGCAGAAACTTAATATAATAATAATAAACAACACAGTTGTCACTGAGTATGAGTTGTAAGTGTAAAGCTAGTAAGAGTAAGAGCCGAAAGAGGCTGTAACAGTAACACTATGACTGTATCAACTCAAGACAAAACTGATCATCAAAGTCTGAATCTAAGACTAACTTCACTAAGCTTGCTAAAAGAGTAAAATCACATTCAAGGTTCCTTTAATCATCAGATTCAAAATAAAAAAAGTATTTGCAAATAATTAGTCAATTTGAATTAGTGATTAGGCTAGGCTAGGCCAGGCTAAATAATGGAATGGCATCCCTGTATACATTTTTCTATTTTTTAAACTAGCTATGAATATTTGGTTCACCTGAATGCATATTCGAGGTTCCAGTATTTAATTTATAAGTCTTTTTGTTGTTGTTTTTTCCCCACAAACAAAGCAAGTATAAGCTTGTTCCTTTCGTGTTTACGTTCTAAATGTTTTCAGAGTAGCTGCCCATTATGAGCAAGAATTTCCAGCGTGTCTAAAAACCAGTAAAAGACAACAGCAAGTCAAACACTGGAACAATAATACACTTTAAAAAAAAAAAAAAATTAAAAAAACATCACGGGCTTCGTTCGTTTTTTCAAATAGTGAAAACATAATTTGTGTATTTATGTCATACCTAAATAACCAAAGAATGAAAGATAGTTCTTAAATATGAAAATTAAATAAACGGAGCATCTTTATATTTGTGAGTGTAATTTGTGTGTGTTTTTACACCATGGCACGTATGTATGCTCGTATTAATTCATTTGGGGGCTATGTGCAGTAAAAAAAAAAAAAATACTTTAAAAAAACAACAGATCATAATTTACCGGTAATATATTGTTACACATACTGTCACGACTACACTCTACTTAAGTACTAAGTAACAGTCACAGTCCACTACGGTAGAGACAGCCGGCGTTGTAGGTTTGCATTAATTACCAATACTAATTAATACACTAATAATACTAATGAAAAATGATTACTTGCAGTCCCCGTCACGAGTCAACTGACTTAATAATTACTTAAGAGTCTAGTAATAGTAGCTGTAGAATTATACTTATAGCCCTACCCTACACTTACACACTGTTTGGCTAACAGTAGCCTATACTATATTTATTATTATTGATTTCCCAACTGCTTTTCTCTTTTTTAATTTCAGAAAAAGAAACAAAGTGCCCCATCCCTTGGCATATTGCCATCATGTTTCATATATTTATTTATTTTATTTTAGATGAGAATCCAGTAGAAAGCTAAGATTTTTTATTATTTTTTTTTTTGTTGTTGTTGTGAACTAGAATTCCGATTATCATGCCAATTCCTTTTTTTTTTTTTTCCTTTTTTTGGTACGTGTTTAAAAAAAAATACGTATTCCTTAATGGAATACGTATTTTTAACCAATTTAAAATGGTTTCTCAGAAGTCTCTGTGTATTTAGATAAAAATGTTTTAAAGTGAAGATTCAAATTAAGAAACCGGAAGTTATAGTGGTTTGAAATTCCAAATTAAAATTTCAATCTACTGAATATTTGGAAATTCAAACTTTATTTGCTTAACGAAATTCCCTCAGATAAAATCACACATTAATAAATATAATGTCCCCTGTAAACAATGCAATTTATAAAAATGACCAGTTTTCAAAACCCATAATAATTTACCGGTATAGACATATAGACCTTTCTAATAAACCTGCTTTTGCGAAGTGGCTATTCGGACTCTGCTACCAGAAGTGAGAGGTTGAGATTAAAAAATGTTTAAAATATTATTGTTGGGTTTGTAAGAAACGTTTTGGTATCGAATAAAAGATAAATGAATGGAATGTATCTTTGTCAACTTAATTCTTCAGTTTAACTACAATAAACTACCACAAATGACATCAGTAAAAGGCAGCATTTAGTCGAAATGGATCCGGACACGCAGCTCTATTCCGACCCGGTTCCCTTTAAAAACTAAATAGGGGGGGGGGGGCAAAATTCTTATCTCGCCTGAGGTGGCACTAGCCCTAACTACCCTCCTGCATCAGCAATAATAAATCTAAAATATGTGCCGTTCACAAGAAAATGCTGTTCCCAAAAAGTCCCACCTGAGGCAAACAATCTCCACACTAACAAATGCCATTGTTTGAACACATATCAATGACTTGACTATAAAAATAGCCTTCAACTGAAAGATTTATTTTCAATTTATAGTTTTTAAAATTAAATGTATTACTTATTTTCTGTTTATTTGTTGTTTTTTGGCATTCTTAGCCATTTATTTGATAGCAATTAGTATTTTTCATTCTTATTGATTTAAATTCTATTCTTCTTCTGTGTGAATTTGTTGTGGTTTGGGACCATCCATACATAAAGTCCAAGCTTTTTGTGACAATATTTACTACCCCCCCCACCCCCAACCCTGTCAAAATCTGATACAAATCTTTAAAATGATCACACTTGAACAATAAAATTGAACTATTGAAAAAACTAGACACTACTTAGTGACATCACTGTCAATTTCAGCTTTTATAATTATAAGTCTGATCAAAATATGTTATTAAATGATTGACATCACATATGATATCCTCCGAGTCACATAACACCCCCACCCCCACTTCATCCCCCCTCCCCCCATGTCACAATCAAACTTTCTGAAACTCTTCCCGAGGGTGACTGACGTAATTATGGACAACACCTTTCTGCCCTCCGATCTTTTCTTTCCACTTCTTTCAACTAAATCAAATAGTTTTTAAACACTCTTGGTGCGTTACAACACAATAGAGAGAACATTATTAGAAAATAGGTAAAGATATTAATACTTAAGCTAGCAGACCATGTGTTTAGCTAGCAACCGTATCTCCAAATATGGTGATCCATTTCTCCCCCTCGCTATTTTTCCTCACCTACATAGGTCCTCAGTTTCTTCTGTGCAAAAACTGCCATATTTATGTTAATACTAATTAATTTTTTTAACTGCACATTAGGACGGTCTACTGACAGGCTAACTTTTACGGCTATAACTTTCTATTTGTTAACATCAGCTGCATTCTTTGAGTGATGTTCACTTGGTTGCCCTCTTTCTCCAGACTCTAAGTTACAAAGATTCTACTCAAATGGCAGACTACGATGATCCCAAATATCGGTACACTACACATAAACTCAATAATTCATAATATTAGACACGAAGTAAGGTTATCTTTAAAAGTTTAACTCAATTCATAATATTAGACACGAAGTAAGGTTATCTTTAAAAGTTTCTGGATCTGTCCCTATTCCCTGCAGCAGCTGAATGAATGGCTCATCTACTCCTCTACTAGGATTAATACCGGATTTCTATATAATATGTTAATTATGAACTACTTACATAAATCCACACAGGCCATAGTACAGCGGTTCTCAACCTGTGGCTCGCGACCCCTTTGGGGATCGAACGACCCTTTTCCAGGGGTCACCGAAGACCATCGGAAAACACATATACTGTACAGTTATGAGGTATCAACGAACATAATTTTCTGGCTGGGGGTTGCCAAAACATGAGGAATTGTATCAAAGGGTCGCGGCATTAGGAAGGTTGAGAACCACTGCCATAGTATAACAAAGACCATAACAAAAACAAATTAATTGAAGGTCAGGAGGTCAATGAATTTTATAAATGTAATTACGTTAAGTTATAGCTATTTTTACAATAAATTTACTTCATTTAAAAATGTTCTTTGATGGTCTTCATCAAAGCTGCAAAATTCCTAAATAAAAATATAATTACCATGATGGTTTTTTTAGTATTTTTTAATTATTTGATGTATTTTAATACAAGTTTTATAATTTATAGGCTAATTTATTTATTACCTAATTACAAACAAGACTTGTGTCAAGAAATCAGTTCCTTTTTTTTAAAAAATTTGTCCACAGTACTTTTGTCACCTAAGTTTACAGAAATTATACCCAAAAAAAATAAAAATTTGTGAGTTTTAAGATCATGTCGAAAGTCCATTCCGATTTGACAAGCTACGGCTTACCAAAGGCGACTTGCCTCCGTGATTAAAGACTGCTTCTGCTCATCTCGGCCATGACAGTTTCGCTGAGCGTCAAGGTCATCTACAAGGTGCTATGCATCTTAGTCATCGTCCTCTTCCTCAACCCACTCATTATCAACATCATATACAAAGATCGTTTGCTGGGGAGGCAATCCAGCGTCACCTACATCACCAACCTCGCCTTCGCGGACATGTTTGTCGCTGGCGCGTTCGATAATTATCGTGATTTGAAATTAGTTTGGTTTTAATTTATATAAAATGAAATACATTTTTTATAAATGTAAGTGTTTAAAATCTAAATATAGAAATGCACTAAAATACACTTTCTTTAGCTATCATGGTACAAAGGTATGTATTTAACTGTAAATAAAGGAGAGGGTCACTAACAGTTTAATGGGGGAAGAGGGGAACATTTTTATTGGGTTTAATTTGTCCCCAAGAAGATTTAAAGGACGATTCGAAATGGCTCATCCATAATCTCAACCAAGAAAACTCTCTCAGACTTCTTCTATACAATGTGAATTAGATTTATATATATTTCTAATTTAGTTGGCTTTTGAAAGATGCAAAATGCAGACACTGGATGAAGAGAGTCGGCTACATAAATTGTGTTTAATTTGTCAGGCATTACTACAAATCAAGCCTATGAACGAAAGGGTGTTGGTAGGGAGATGTGGTCAAACATGGTCGGTTCTAATAACTATGCATTAGGTTCATTCGTGTTGGTTCGCACTCGGTGTCTGAAGTTCGGGTTCGGTCGTCAGTAAAGCTGGGGTTCCTTTCAATCGTTAGCAGATTTACAGTTCGGTGTGTTCCATCAGTGGCGTAGTAAGGGGGGGGGGGTGCGGGGGTTGACATCAAATGGAAAAATTGCAAATTTATATAAAAAACACTACTCGGTGTAACTGGACTTTAATAAAGGATAACCGATCACACGTAAATTGTCCACCCGTGTAACCAATCCAAGGGATACGGTGCTTGATATTGGTTTTGTTCAAGNACTGTTCTTAAATACATTTAAGCACCGACCACCAATTGATTTGTTTCTTTTTCTTGTCATTGTTTTGCTGTGGATTTATTTGAACAAGAAGAAATACATCGCGGAGGGCCGGGGGGGGGGGTGGGTGACACCATGAGTTACTGCACCGGGAGACACCAACTGTGTTCCACTCCTATCTCTAGTAACGACACATGTGACTTGTATAATCCTTCCCTGTCACCAAAGCCACAGATAGCATTAATATACCGGTACTGCTTAGTGTAATTTGGCCACTGATGAGATATACTCTACGATGTTTGACATTTTTTTGATGTAGAAATCGGGAAAACCAAATACTTTTTTTTTTTTATATAGCAAGATGATTTAGCTCTTGTAGAAGTATAATAACCTGTAGCTAAACCTAATGTGGTATGGAAATAGAAGGTTCAGCTATTGTTTTATCATCGCTGTTTTCAAAAACATTGCGCTCAGTGAACTCAGTTCAGTGGTGTTGTAAAATACAAAGTATTTTAACTTAGACAAAATGAATGTCACACAGAACTGGGTTTAAATATAATCAGTTTTAAGGGCCTCCCAATGTACTGTACACAACACAAGAATGAGTTGACGTCCAACGTATTTTGTTTACATAAATTAATAACTTAAAAAGCCATTATTCCGATGACCATTCAGACAGGAGATATAAACCATTAGTGCAAATAATATGACTGCCCTCTATTAATAAGACAAATTGTGCATTTTAGTTTTCTATTACTTAACAGTGTTATCTTTAGCATAGTTTCATATACAAATAAAGTATTTTTTTTAAAAAAGACTTAATAGTTTTTAAATGACCCAGATATTTTCTACGCAAATAAACAACTTTGTTTTATTGAAAACTAACTTATCAAAATAAGAAAGCTGGTACAAAAGCTTCATGGAACCAAATCTTAAGCCAGATTTTATTCATTGTAATGTAACTTCAGCCAACTTTCTTCTTATAAGTTGTAATATAAAAAATCTTCAAGTCTTTGACCAAATATGAATAAAATATGACGAATAAACTTCTGATATTATTATTATATTTGAGTAAACGTCATTGTCACCATAAATAATAATAAATAATAAAGCAATATACTGATTTGCAAACACTTATTTCTTAGACTAAGATCCAGCACCAAACCTTAGATAGATGTTTCACACTGAAGTGTTCTTGTTGCTTGCTAGAAGTCAGTCCTTTTAGCATATCTGTCAGTTCGGACTTGTTACACGCCACTCGCAGTCTGCACGTTTCGCCGGCTGATGTACCTACTGAAGGCAAAAACTTAACAAATTTACATCTTCAATTCTTTCCCCTTAAATTAATATTTTATATCTATACTTGAAAATTTAAAAAAAAATAATTTGTGACTACCGCAGTAGTTTAGCTGTAAAAGACATTATTAGAAGTCTTGCAGTTTTTATAGGTATACTATTTAAAAAAATTGTGAGTGTATTCATTAATGAATTAATGCTCAATTTTTTTTTTCTTTTTCACATACTCTGCAAATAACCCAAACACTTAATCTAAAAATTATAAACCTTAAAAACAACAACTCAGACTTGTTACGACTTGACCCACGATCCAATTTTGACAGAGTGGAAAACGAAGGCATCTTTATTTTTCCTGAGACGAGAGTCTGTTGAAAGCTGTGAGACTAGAATCTGATCTTTTATCTCTTTCAACTTTGATGGCTCAAAATTATCAACCTCCAAAACATGTGTCAGGCCTTCTGGGAACTCTTCATTAAAATCAACAGCCCTGACAGAATCCTGCTTGACCTCTGCAGGAAATGAGTATTTAATATCATATTTTTTTTCAAAATGAGAATGATATTTTAACATCAATTCCGTTTCTACAGGACGTTTGGTCACCCTGGTTTAGCCATAACGTCCTTAAAAATTGTGTCTTTTTTCAGCTTAACAAATCTTCTTCCACTATTCATAATATACTGAAGCCTCTTGAGTGTACATGGCATTTTGAACTTAAGGCAGGGGGCAAAAATGCATATTTATGTTATAGATTATCTAGTCCTGTGGGCATTTATATAATTATTATTAGTTTGAAAACAAATATTTTAATAATGTTTTTGATGATATTTTAAACGTCCAGTTGTTAGTTCATTGGTCCACAATGCTAACTATCAGCTATGAGTATGACTTTAGTATGAGCTTGGAACAACTCCTGGATGTAGAGATACTCCTGTTCTCTGTCTGTCTGAATGTCTCTCTTCTATCTCTCTCTCTCTCTCTCTCTCTCTCTCTCTCTCTCTCTCTCTCACACACACACGCATACACTCTAACACACAAACACAAATAATACAAAGTTAATATTTGACTATGATTAAGGTATCTTTTTGACTGTATCATTTCAGCGTTAATTAGACGTACATTTGCTTATTAAAAATGGCGGAGAGTCATTGACGACCATCATTACTATTCTGTGACCACTTGCTGCTTGATAAGTGTAAGCATATATTTGAGCCGTTAATTTAATAAATTATGAGCTTTGCTTATGCCTTGATTATTTATTGTGCATGCATAGATACTTCAAATATCCTTTGCTTTGTGATTATAGTTAAAATAAGTTATTATTATTTCTAACAACTATGAGTATGACTTTGCTATACTTAGTAATAGTATGAGTATGAGTATGAGGATGATTTGATTGCTAACTTAAATTTATCTATTAGTACTATTAGTATTACTAACCGAAAGTCTAAAAGTTAAAGTTTAAAGTCAGCTCTAATAATTTTAAAATGTAGCCTAAGAATAGTATTTGCAAGAAAGACGTGCCAAAAGTCTAAATAAAAATATAAAAAGTCAAGTGACTTTTAAATCAGTTTTTTAACATTAACTTTGAGTAGATTTATTTCAATTTCTTCAGTTTATTGGTCTAAATTCTAATACCTTTTACTTTAAGAATATATTTTAGTATTTTAGTTAGGGATATCAATTAATATTATAAATCAAAATGATTCGATTTCAATTTAGTTTTAGTCCCAAGATTATGGCATGGCTGTGACTGTGACATTTTAGTAATTTCCAAAAAGTTAAAAATTCAAATAATTTAATTTTTAGAGCTTATTTTAGGCCTTATTATGAGGTTTTGCTCCACCCTTTTGTATGTTTCTTAGTTCTTAGTCTTATAGCTTCAACCTGAATGCAATCTCTTACAAATAAAACAGAATACCTAAACCTGTGAATTCAATAAGTCAGTCTGATCTATAATTTGCTTCAAATAGTTCAAAATCAAAGCAACAAAAATATTAATGCTCTGTTTAAAAACTAATTTCATTATTAATAATTAAACAACATGTTTAAATTTGTGCTAGAACTAGAATAACAGCCTCTTTTGCATTTTGAACTTATATATTATTCAGAGCTTTGGTTTAAAATTCAAATATATAATTTTTTTTAGGCTGTAGATCTTTGTAAATGGTCATGGTTATAGAATGATTCAACAAGGATTTGTTCATGGCAGTAATACTACTAGCAGTATACTTGAACTGTCCACAATGAGCAACACAGTGCCACCATTAAACACACTACCTCATTGGTCTCGTAATAATGCACTTGATAAGGTAATAAGAATATTTTATTAAATAAAACATAAGAGTGGTGAACATGTATAATAATTGTACCTGGTATATAAAAAAATTAATTTCACATAAAACAATGTGTTTTGGAACACTTGAAGAGCATTAACTCATGCCTTAACTATTTTGCCATCAAAAGCATATTTTTGTGGTTTTGAAAAGCTCTGCTTTCCTTGTACCGATACCCTAATTCAACCCACCATGGAATAGTTAACACATTTTGATTTGGAAGTTTCATGTAACAAATAGTTTGTTTTAAAAAATTGCAATATTCAAAAACATTTGCAAGTAGTTCATTCAAGCAGACATATTTTAAATAATTAATTTAATTTTTAATCATGAATTAACAAATTTAATACTTTTATCCTAGGTTCATTATCCAAAACGTTTTTTGAAAGATCCGAAGTCAACTATAAATTATAGTGGACTAAAAGAAGGCTATGGAGATGATGATATCCTTACTGGAAATGAAATGAACCCTGCACAAAGAATTCAGTATCTTGAGCGAAGCATTGTATTTTTAAGACAGCAGCATGCCGAGTTACTACAATCTCTACATGAAGAAGTTGAACTGCTTAAAAAAGAGAACAAAGGTTGGTAAAAATAAGACAATTTTTAAAAATTGTTAAAATGTACAAGTTAACAAAAAAATACCAAGACCTGAGAATTCAATAAGTCAGTCTGATCTAAAATTTGCTTCAAGGCAACAAAAGTATTAATGCTTTGTTTAAAATCTAATGTCATTATTAATAACTAACTATTAATATTAAGAAATTAATTTTTCAAAGGTTATAGTTTTTAAAATGTAATAGTTTTATGCTGTTTATTTTGAAATAGAAAGGTTAGAACTTATGCAGCAATAACAATTTTGTTATTTTATTTTTACAGATTTACAGTTTAAAATTGTGATGGGCCAAAGAAGCCGCTCTCTGAAAGAAGGAGAGGACATAAGCATGAATGAATCAGGTAAATTGACAAATGCTTTAAATTTTTGCTCACTTCAACTTTTAAATGCAACTAATGTGATAGAATTTAATGTTTCTTTGTTATACAGTATCTATTCTTTTTAAAATCACATTTTTTATTTTAAACTCTGACACAATATTATTTTTAACACTATCTGATGGCTAGTTTCATTATTTTTACCCAGTTGAAAAAGTAACAGGCATCATTTTTCTCTTCTACTTCTAGGCATGCCCCCAACAAAAATCCCCATGTCAAAGCTATTAGAAAACCCAGATAAATCCAGAGGTATGTATTTACATTAGAAAAATATATAAGACAGCTGTAGTCTTCTTTGTTCTTTGCCTCTCAAGACAAAATAAAACAGGCTAACACTGAATTGCATATTAAAATTGTATATACACTAAGCAATCTTAACATTTTATTCACTGTATCAGTTATTGATATGCATTGGACTTTTCAACATCAATTAAGTTTTAATTAAAGTGCATTTCAACTTCAAGCCATTTTTTGCTTTTATTGTATGCTTTACTGAAAACACAACTTTTCTCCCTTCAGCCAAAACAGAGGAGATGAAAATTTTGTTCTTAGAAGAGGAGGTGAAAGAACTCAAACATGCCCTCAGGGAAACAAGAAATAAAAATCAATATTTGACACAACTACTGGAACAGGCAGAAAAACAAAAGGAGAAGGAGTAAGATTGAACTATTAGAGCTTTTATAAAATACATGAAAATGCATTATGTTGAGGCATACAAAATTAGTCAGGAATAATTTAATCCACTATTTTGATCAATTCAAAACACTGCAGTGGATTCCAAGGATTTTACTGAACATATTTAATCTAATTAACATATCTGAAATTTTTAAATATGTTATTTAATAATTTTAGTTTTATAATTATTTATATATTTATCGAAAAATACCTTAATCATATGGCTAATGTAGAATACAAATAAATATGTGATAGAAACATTAGCAATTACAGTTACACCATAAACAGTACATCAACATTTATAATTTCAATTATCTCCATTTGTCAGTCTTATAAGGGGAGAAAGTTAAACTAAATGTAACATTTTTGAGGTGTGACTATTTTTTAAAAAAACACATCAGATGAACAAATAGGAGGGAAATAATATTTTCCAGAAATCTCATTATTAAAATAATTTTGAATAAATTTGTGTAGTCAATTTATTCCTTCATATCCTCTGCATCATTTTTTTTATATCAACCACTTATTCAACATAATACAGAAAAGGTTCAATTGATCATGTGAAATATGAGGGAAATCCTGGACAGACAAATTTTAATTCAGGCCAGTCAGATGTTGCTGGCATGCCTGGAGTCACCAGTGGACAATATACAAGCTTGAGCCAGTGCCATGTTATCATTAAACATTTGCAGCAAGTCAATGCCAAACAAGGTCATGAGGTTGGTAGATGTAGATGAAGTTTGTAAGCAAAGAGGAGTTCTAAAATCTGAATAAGTGAACTAAAAGAGTCCTCTTTCAATCTACTCAAACACTGCTGTGAAGTACGTTGCCCACAGAATCAACTCCTGTGAACCACATCTCAACACCAAATCAACTTATTATCCTCTCAATCTCACATGCCTTATGTTCACACCCTGGTTTATTATCCTTCTTCATGTCATCCAATCCCCATCAGCCACAATAATACCCCTAGCACTCCAAACTCAGGATGATAACAGCGTCACCTTAACAACAATGATTCTCATACCCTTAACATGCTGTTATTCTTTTGTTCTAAGATTTTTACTTACATGAAGCTTTTTATCAGCTTTCCAATCTAATCTTGCAAATCTATTTCAATAGTTGGATCGACTTAAACTTGATCTCCGTGATGTTCTGTATTCACACAAGTGGACACCAGATGCTTTTTTAATGGCTAAGGCTTACATCGCCGAAGATGACAGGAAAGAAGATGAAAAGGGAACAAGTCTTCCACGTATCCCTTTGAGAAATCCTTCAAAGAAAATGTAGGATTTTCTTTTTTATCAAAATTTAAATAGAGGGTTTGCATTATGTAATGCTGGGGGGGGGGGGTGCCACAACCAGGGGGCCACGTGTATCCCAGCAAGTGAAATGCCAGCCGATTCACATTTTTTTTTTAAAGGGAACAAGTCTTTCTCGTATCCCTTTGAGAAATCCTTCAAAGAAAATGTAGGATTTTTTTTTTTATCAAAATTTAAATAGAGGGTTTGCATTATGTAATGCTGGGGGGGGGGGTGCCACAACCAGTGGGCCACGTGTATCCCAGCAAGTTAAATGCCAGACGATTCACATTTTTTTTTTCAGATGATTGTACTTCTTTTCATTCTTGTTGAAGCAACACATTAGAAATCAATGAGCTATAGTTTTATTTTAAATACAGTTTTATCTTAATTAAATTCTATACAATTATGTATGTCCTTGTGCAGCATGTGTAGAGGTTTTCTCAGATTAGAAATAAGAATTTATTAATAAATCGGAAGATTGTTTTGTTTAATGTTTATTTTATCTATACTATTAGTGTAATGAAATGTGGCCCATGAAGAACGAGCTTTCGATCAAACTGGCCTTTTATGCCATTTGGCCTGTTGTAATACTCGTAAAAGGATGATTTTTTAAACATTTCTTCACCATTAAGAAATCAAGTACAATATACTTTTATTCTTGGGGTAAAAATTGCCTGGCTTGAGGATTATTTTTGTTTGTATATTTTTTTTAGGCCAATGCTTGAGTAAAAGTAACAGTATGATTTATGAATACAAGATAAATGTAATGGAAATATGCTAATATAAAGCCTCAGTAGCTGGGTTGTCAGCCAGTGGCGGGAGATTAAAATAGTGCTCAAATATTTTTTTATGTTGAAGAAATTATATTTTATGAACATTATTCATTCAGACATTAAGTCTCCATGATTCTGGATATCAGTAATATCCTACACAAATTCAACAAAAAATCATTTACAAGTATGAAGTAATTAAAATTAAAGTCTCTTTTAAAGAATGCAGAATCGCGTCTTAATTCTTTGTCGGTTTTTTTCTCTCACTCAAACTCACATGCAACTCGCTGTACATTGAATGTTTCCAATACCTAATGAGCCATAGACAATGTTAATATAACTTGATTTTGATTTGATTAAATACTTGTATAGCGCTAAGTATCCATGCCAATTTAGCATGCTCACTGCGCTCTCAGGGATGGCATCCGGGGCGTCGCAGGGGTTGTCGGAATGATTCATTGTTTCGATGTTTGCCGCCTGTAGGGGACGCCATCTCCGGGTTTGAATTTAGAGTTTCCTTCTCTTAGATGAGTTGCCGACCAAGGTTAACGAGTCCCATCTACTGCGTTCTGGGAACATTCTGCTATAAACATTTTAAATTTTTTACTTGTTATTAATACTGTAATAGATGTTATAAATAAGAAAACAAGAATCATAAGAATACCAAATATAACCGATTATTTTAGGTATTAAATTTAAATGAAGTGGGGTCAAAAGTATATTAAATTAAATAGATGTTTTGGAACCTCTTGTTTAATTGGTTAATGTTTTTCTTGCGCTATTTACAGCCCAGAGATGGCATATGTAAAAGAAAACATCAGCCTACCTGCCCTTCACTTGACAGTGGGCAATAGGGCAGTGGAGAGGAAAAAAAGAACACAGGTTTTACAGAGAGCTAAACTTCAACCTGGGTCTCTACCTCCCTGAACTTGTAAGGATTAGGTGTGTTTTTGTTGAATGTTCAATTCTGAAAGTTATTTTTATGCCAGGTTTTCATGGTATCTGCAACTTAACTATGGTTATAATTGCCAAACCGGCCAAAATACATAGATTTTATTGTGTCATGTTAATTTATGTAATTGTAATATTTCATAATTAGACTTATGGTACCTAAATTTAAAGAAAAATATTTCAATTAGTTACTCTTACATAAAACCAATAAATTAATTTTGTTAACTTTAAATTTATGATTAATTTTTTAAATCAGGAAGCTCAATTTTTATTTAAATGTGATCCTCATTCACTTAATGTGGACTACTCTGCTTCTGTATAAGAAAGGGTGAATGCTGTAAGGCATTATCATAAAAGGGCAATTGCTAACAGAAATTATTTGCTTGATTCCTGCTAAATCATACTGAATTTTTTGACAAGTACCAGCATATTATAGTTTATAGCTGACTGAAAGTGAAACTAGCCTACCACATTTATTGGTTACTAGGGCAGTAGCTTGGCTCAAAGTTACTATTTTTGACACAGGTTATTTTTTTTTAACTGTTGGATAATCTTCTGAATTATTACATCATGCCTAAGTTACAGAGAAAAAAGTTTTAGTAAAATTCATATATTTTAACCAACTTATCCATGACATGGTTTCTGTCTGCATATATTTTATGCTGCTTAATTGTTAAGGGTAGTGATTTCAAGTGAAATTAAATAGACCCATGCTTACATTTTTTTTAAAAACCCACAGATTTAAAGAAGACTTTTCCACAAATAGGGTTCTTCATTAACATCCCCTATATTGATTTGGCCCAAAAAGTTATAAGCTGCCAATGTGATTAAATGTAAAGTTACAATTACATTGATGGACTATCTAAACTATAGATTAATTGAGCTGTAACATGAGTTGCAAAGTTTGTATTAGGCTGTTACCTATGTGATTAAAAAAATAATAATATAATTAATTTTAAATTCTCTCCAATTTAGTTTATTGATATTGTTTACAAATTTCCATGAAAATAAACAATATAAATATTCTCTAATTCAAACATTGATCAGGCAGTAAATACTTTTTTAAAATTGATAATTTTTGCTCTATAGCTTGTCAACAGTTTTTTTATTTATTTTTTTTAATTTTATGAACTGCTTGAAGTTGAAGGATTGATGTGAATACGGTTATGGTTTTAAGATAGAGATTAAGTACATTATTTACACTGCACGTCTGATTTGGTTTTGTGTATTTACACAGCGATATGACACATTTGTTGTTTTGTTTTTAAAGATTGACAAGGGGTCTCTATAAAATTGCTTTACATAATCAAGGACCAATCATATTGACTATTATTGAATTTTTCAGAATAAATTACAGTTTATTTTGTGCCCAACTGGGTTAGGGCCAAAAAAATTATCTTTATTTTTATGACTCATTGAGTTTTGTTTATCAGAAATGAATGTATGAGAAACTTTAATTTACAATATATCAATGCATTCATCACCTCCTATTAATTTCTTGTGAAATCATTGTCTCAAAATTGAAATGCAAAGAAACCTGCTAACTGGAAGTCAAAAAATTTACCTACAGGCTACTGGAAACAGATGTTTCACTAAAGCTGGGCAAGCTGTTTTTTTTTTTTTAAAACTTACATTTTAATGCATAAGACTCAATAATCATAAATTACTTTCTTTGTTGTTAAGCACTTTGCTGGCACTGTGGTGTGACAAGAAGAGTAAGAAAACTTGATTATCTCCTTTTCGCATCTCTAGAGATAACATAATAAAAGAGAACTGCAACTGCCGATGTCTTCAAAATACAACTAAAAACACCTGGCTTGTTTGCTGAAATGGCCAGCAACAACTTCAATAAGCAGTTGTGTCAAATAATTATCCACAAATGTTTTTTTTTTTTTTTTTAAGGATTCAGAAAAAAACTGATTGTACATAACATCTTATTTTATGAATTTTCAAAGTTGCAGCAATTTATTTACATTAAAAAAATTTTACTAAAAACACCTGGCTTGTTTGCTGAAATGGCCAGCAACAACTTCAATAAGCAGTTGTGTCAAATAATTATCCACAAATGTTTTTTTTTTTTTTTTTTTAAGGATTCAGAAAAAAACTGATTGTACATAACATCTCATTTCATGCATTTTCAAAGTTGCAGCAATTTATTTACATTAAAAAAATTTGACTGTTAAGTATACCTGGTGTAATATCAAGTATAGCCTACTTTTGAAATACATGCTAGTATGCATGAAGTAATATATTTAATATATGTTGTGAAAACTGAATAAAATTAAGAAAAATAATTTCAGCCTTATTATCATTCCTTTTCATTGTAAGGATTTAGAAGTGACAGAAGACCAACTACCTATATTTAATATAATATGTCAATGACTACCAACCGCAATGGCTGTGAAACAATTACCAAGGATTTAATGCTATCTATATATGTATAATGCTATCTATATTTATATAAAATGCTTATCCTAACTTTTAATAATTATTTAGCTCCTTGTGACCCAGCAACAATATAAGGTTACAGTCAAGAAATGGTTAATGTAGTGGATTAAAACTGGGCTGCGGTTTCATTAACTCAATGAATAACCCGATAGAGTAGCTAGATTTCTAAAAGCAGTAGCAGCTGGGTAGATAACACAAGTCTCTTCATTATTTCAAGCATCTTATGTATTGAGCATTAAGTTAATATTTTATCCCCACTGTATCAGAGCATATTTATTATAGGAGGAGCAAAAATTGCCAGTAAAATTGTTAATTTCAGTGAAGTAAAAATGTTAGAATTGATAAATTAATATATATTTAAGGAATCAAAATTTGTTAATAATTCAATTTTTATTTAGATTCAATTTTACAAATTTATTTTCACAAGATGAGCAGGATGGTATTCAAATTTTTTGTAAATAAAATTAAAAGGTTATAAAAAAAAAAACATCCCTCATTTCATTAATTATTCATATAAAACAAATCTGTTAATGAATGTCTGGTCCTCAGCAAATCCAAACAAACTACTGAACTATCACTAAACTCACAAGAAGTAGACATGTCTATTAAACACTCAGGCCTAGCTTTAATTCACTAACGTCAAGTGTTAAACCTCATAGCTTGAACACTGGCATTTTGTCAAGATTAAAATAGTGTCAGTAGATCATCTGATACACAATAATGTGTCACGTCAGAAGACAATTTATTTATATTTGGTAACTTTTAACAGGGCTGAAGTTTAAATCCCACTAGCAATAAAACATTTATTAAACATCCTATAAATAAAGCATTTATCTGCCATATTTTATCAGGTTATTCGGTTGGTCCGCTTTTTTAATGTCATGTGTGGACTGTAATTAGAAGAAAATGTAAGAGATCAATGCTTTATCATGCTATCAGTTTATCAATTTGAGCTAGACATGGTAGATCCATGAAGCCATATTGCGGTGCCTGAAAAACAGTTGATTAACTCTGACTACACAGAGACCACATCATCCCTTGACAACTTAATATTGAGATTGCAGTAATTGTCAGGTGTGTTGTTTCCTTGAAAAAAAAAATGTAATAGGGAAACAAATAAATATTAAGCAAATAGATCAATTTATATAACAGTGCAGATTTTTATATAAGATGGAGGTCTCCATTTCTTCCAGTTGGATTGAGGCTTTCATTATGGATTCTCTTGGATGGCATTATCTACTGCATTAAAATGTTTGGCTCAGCAGATTTTCTACAGAGTCTAGCAAGCAGACCAGACATTTGTAGCAAAGACTGGACTCCCTCTGCCAGCCTCATATGTGTGTAGCCTATCTCCTGAAAGACAGCAATGAATGTGGCATTACAAATTGCTGTGTATTAAATCAGGTAGTAATAGAGGAATAGTGAAATGAACACAATGCAGAAAAACCGGTACCGCTATTTGATAATAGTTGTTAAAAATTCTGTAGATTTAAAGAGAAATTATTTATTAGACACGCTCTGACAATAGAGGTTTAATCATCTAATACCAGACATCCACTATCAGCACTTACCTTAATAAATTCCAACTTTAGATACTCTGGCATGGATTCATTTTTACAAACCCGAAACACAATGGTTATGATATCTTCTGGTGAGTAGCCAAGCCTCCATAAGTGAGCCATGATTTTGTATGCATCGTCAAGATGACCCAGAACACAGTGCTTTAACATATCCTTGATCAACACAGGATGAGGTTCATCACACACCTGGGGATTTTTATCATGATGATAATAATTCATTAGTATCATACTCTTTGACATACTTGGATCTGAGAATTTTTGTCTTTCAATAATATACTTCTAACTTACTTTCACTGTGTTTAGATAAAAACATTACCTTGAAAACATTTTCACTGTTGACATGACCAAATCCTTGGAATGTAGACTGGAGGTTGTTCAGTGCCTGGCAAAAAAAAAAAGAATGTTTTCAAATTCAATATTTTGTTACATCTTAACAGCAACATTTTGGTATTAAAATTAACAGAAGTATGGTTGTTGGTTCAATTAAAAGTTAATATTAAAGACAAATCTTCAGAGATAGTTGAAATTTTACTGAAAAACTCTTCAGAGCAGCAGTTTCCAAACTGCAAGCACATACTTTGGGGGGACACACGTTTTTTTAACCTTTTTGTATAAAATATAGTTTAAAGTCAACTGCTATCTTGGAGAATTCAGTCTGTTTATTTTAGAAGAATTCAGGCTGCATATTTTAGGAGAATGCCTAAAAAAAAATATTGTTAATGAGGAGTTGAGGAAGTCTCAGGATTGAACATCTACGAAATTCTAACCATAACCTACTTGACGCATATCTCCCTGTGCTGTAAAAATTACAGCCTCTAAGCCATCATCTGTAAAACTAACATCTTCTGCTTTGACAACTTCCAACAGTCTGGCCAACATTTGTGTATCACTCAACTTGGAATAACGAAGCACAGCGCAACGAGACTGTATGGGTTCTTAATTTTTTGGGGGAAAAATATTTTATTTTTATCATCCAAACAAATGATAACAGCAATATCTCATAATCTGCTCTTAAAAAATAATAATAATGCATAATTTAAAATTCAATGTATACATTTCATTAGATTTTGGACAGTGTTTGATGACACTGCCCCTAACTAAACAAGATGCACACAAAACTATTTACTTTAAGTTCCTTCTTCAAGTGGAACAATTTGCCTTTCATTGTTTATTATTATTATTATTATTTCTGGTTCGGTTACATCACATTACTACACAAAAAGGAATTCTATTTTCTAAATAACTAAAGCTCTTTTACAAAAATGTAAATTAAAGTTTAGAAAATGATGCAGCGGCTATGATAATATACAAACCTATAATTTTCTCTGAAGAATTACAGGCTAAAGCAAACCGTGTTGTCTTTGAAAAGATTTCCATGGTTCTACGTAAAGCTTGCTGGGCTCCATCTGTCATGCTGCAATACAAACAAAAACATTGTTAGTAAAGATGCTGGTCCACGGTGGACGATTTCTTGTAAAGAAAAAAAAAAAGAAGAAATAGCTTCAGAGCATTAGCGGACAGAAAAAGTGTTAAGTAACGAAGAAGGTAAACATGAGCCATCTTATTTACTGTCGATCTCATCAGTAAGATCTACAACCCCTAAAGACAAAGTTTTTCATATAAATGGTTTATAAAATGTAATATTAAGCAATTGGGGGGGGGGGGGGGGGGGGGGGGATGGTGGCTGATAATTTGAGAAAACATGCATACAAGTAACACACTTTATAAGAATTGGGTCAGTTAGATGTCTGAAGATTTTATCTGCCACCCGTGAAACAAAAGCGAAGTTAGTATAAAGGATTTACAAGTAAAAGCTTCGCAATTTGCAATATGAAGAATCTACAAACAGAACAAACCTATCAGCCTCATCTAAAATGATAATTTTGTGTCTGCCCTTAGGAAGTGTAACTTTCTGTTGAGCGAACATCTTGATTCTATTTCTTACAACATCAATGCCCCTGAGTACAAGGAAAAGAAATAAAATATAAGATTAAAAGTCTTATGAGTCATATAATGTGAAATGTAATAACAATAGAATTATATGTTAATCTATTGATGTGATAAAAATGATCATTTAATACAATTACAAGGGTGGTGGAAATTTGAGGTGACACTTGCAAGGATTTGGGCCTGTATTTTCAGTTAACGTGCCATTTAGCTGCCCAGCGTCAGGAATCATTGTGCAGAAGCAAGTCAATTTGTTAACATGCATTCAGTTGTCACACATTTATCTGTATAAACTTTTGGCATTTATTTGTATAACCCTTGTGTTTGAAATGTTTGGTGATCTAGTGATGTATGACAAATCCTTAAAACAATGTACTGCATCAAGTTTTGTATTATGCTCCTGCAAATCTACTTTAGAGACCCATCACACTGCTTCATCAGAAGCACAGGGTAGCTGTGGATGTTCCCACAGGGAATATTATGAAAACAATGGCAGCTAAATTTAATTATGATAAGCCTGTAATTTTTCTAAGCCATAGTCTTGGAACTATGTAATGTATGTGTGTGTGGCAATGGAAAGTTATATATATATATATATATATATATATATATATATATATATATATATATATATATATATATATATATATATATATATTGTGTGTGTGTGTAAATATATATATATATATATATATATATATATATATATATATATATATATATATATATATATATATATATATATATTTATATAATGAATTTCAAGATCTATGGTTAGTGCAATCTTCCAGATGAGTTTTTAGCATCTTTAACTGAAAGCAAATAAATAAGATTTCAAATACCTGATTAATTAACATTGCATTCATTAAGTTATCTGTTGTATATTCTTTCAACACTTATCTTGGTAAATGAAGATTTTTTCGCTTCATTTGTTCATTTCTCAATTAGTAAGGAATCAATCCGAATTAGTTACAAACCTGTCATTGGAAGCATTAAGTTCCAGTACAGCATCTTTGAATGCACTACCCAAAAGTGCTCTGGCCAGACACATAATGCTAGTAGTTTTACCAGTTCCTGGTGGACCCTATTGAATTAGAGTTTTAAAGAAATAAAAATTTAATGGATTTGGGATGTCTACAAAGTTAAACTGCTGAGTTTGCAGTAACAGGTCAAATTTATCTAGGCTTAATTATTTTGCTGTTGTTACATCTATTTCATTGTTTTTAAATTTACACTTACAGCTATAATAACATTGGGGACATTTCCCTCTCTTGCAAAAACTGCTAATCTGCTAACAGTTTCCTCATTGCCAACTATGTCCTGTAATTTGGTAGGTCTGTACTTTTCTACCCTGAAACATGAATAATTTTAATTAAGTAAATAACAATGTGCTCCTACAGGACAAAAAATAAAATTGTGTAATTCAATGACTGCTTTAAGACCATGCATGAGTATTATTAATCAGGTTAAGTTAATCAAGTACAACTCACAAGTATTTGAACTTTGATTTAGACTTAGTACTCGTTAACTTAACTTGTATACACTTAGGTCTTTTTTACACCACCTATTACTATTACCACCCTGCATAAATTGGCTTAAAATTTTAATTTTTTAACAAACAGGATTAGACCCACTGCAAATAGTGAAATATATCATAAATTATTATAATCAATAAATTAATGAATAAATCATGATCATTGAAACTGGCGTTTCGAAGGGGTGGGGGCAGAGGCACCAGGATGATTAGGGGCACTAAACTGGGCTTCTATGGTATTTCATTGAAGAAAATAATGGGTTTTAGAGTTGAAGGGGGGTATAAGAATAAATCTTATCCCCGGCCACTAAACACTCTAGCTACGCCTATGCATGGACCACATGGTGGATGGATGCTTTAATTAACTAGCCCTCCTAAAAGCTGTTAATAATGTAGGCTGTAAAAATGACAATTTTTGTTTAAACCTGGACATTTAAAATCATTTTGGCAAAAAATAAAAAATCTGTTTTGGTTATAGTATACTGAGAACTCTTCAGTCTGTTAAAGTTCTTTTGAAAAAAAAGATTATTAGGGCTTTAGAGCTATGGCTGCAATGGCATGGTGATGCTAGTTGATTTGGATGAATTATGTAGGCCTTATTTGTTACTTATTTACTTGTTTTAGGGGCGATCTTTAAATGATGTCACGATATTTTGGACACTCTGACCCCCCCCCCCCTTTTTCATTAGAAGTTTGTAATAAGTTTGCAATACAATTTAAGACACCTAAAATGACCACATAATTGATGTATCAAAATCATGGCTCCTACCCTGCTCTAGATAGATGTATCATTTATCATATGGGTAAAGGTGTAGTTAGTGCAAGGGTTTTGCCTAGAGCTGTCTCACCCTAAGCGCAATGAAGTTACTTGGGATTTGTGGGGGGGGGGGGATCTCAACAATGGACTTAGGGTGGACCTGTAGTTGGACCTGAACAATACAATGTGTAGGATAACTTTCTAGGTCTTCAATAAGCATTATTCGTGTCTTAAACTAAATCTAATGATCAATGCAGTTAATATCTTAATATGAAATATATTGAAATGAAAACTTCCATTTGTTTTTATTAAAATTCAATTTACAAGGTTCAAAAGAAATTTTAAAAAGGAAACTCAATACAATACTCATCCTTGCTGATATCTCAAAATGAACACAGTGTTACAGTTACAGTGTAAATAAATAGTATCAGTAACAAAGTAAAAACCACATGTCATGTGCTATACTCTAGTACTAGTTTATTAATCTGATGTATTTTTATTTAGTTAAGTAGTAGTAAAAGTTCGGTGAACAAGAATGTCAGAATCATCGAATGATACGAATGGCATTTACTTTTTTTTAGCTTTACTTTACAAAAATTACAGTCTGACTGAATAACTGTATCCTCATATTACATAATAACGGGGTATTAATTAATTTTACAAAGTAGGCGATTTAGAACAAGTACCAAGGCGTGTCGTATCCAGCGGGTTTTTTAACTTCTATGTCACTAGATTTTGTAGCAGGTAACGTATTATCGTCTCTCGGTTCGTCAGTTTCCATCGTATCTTCTTGAATTCCCGCCATCTTTTCTACTGGAGAGCAGGGCTGCCACTCACTTTTTTTAAATTTCCCAAGATTTGGTGAACGAATTTCCCAAGATTTCCCAAGATCATAAAAATTACATAAGTTTTTGTTTTTTTAAGGGTTTTTTCTATGTAATTAATGTAATAATAGTTTGAATTAATGCCCCTCAAAAACATGGTACATTAATTAACTGAAATTTATTGAAAAAGACATTTAAAATTTTTTTAATCACTTAAAAGAAACAATTTGTTTTAAAAAAATTAATTTATAATCCAAAATATCAAACCCACTGGAGTTAGGTTAGTAAATTACCTCCGAATTCTCTGGTAAAAATATCAACAATACTTGTCGCTTGAAGTCACAATAGAAGTCACTTGGAAACAAAGCTTACAAGGCTAATCAACACAAAATTCCTTTTACAAGGGCAAAAGGCTCTTCATCAAAAAATGATTTTTCTTATTGTAAATATGTTGATTAGAAGTGGGGTTTGCAAAGCAATTAAGCAAAATTTATTAATAATAATTGTAGTTAAAATGGATTGATATTATTATGGAAACAATAAGTATTTTTATTTTTTACTTGTAAATTTACATTATAACGATTTTTTTAACAAAAAAACAAAAAATACCTTTGAAGGTATTGTTCATTTATAATACTACAACGTAGGCCTATACTTTTAATATCTTAGTTACCTGTGTGTTTCAATCCACAAATATTTTTTTCCAATTGATGAAAATTAGGCTGGATTTTTTACAGATGCATTATATTTTGAATGCATTGTAGAAGTAATTGAAATAATCAAATTTTACGATGTCATGGATTCTTGATTGAACACTGACGTTCACTCTTCGGTTTGTACTGTTTTTCATATGGTTGCTAATGTCTAATAGCCAAATGATAAAGTTTCCGAGCCTACCCCCCCCCCCTTTTCCCATTTAATAAACATTCAAAAATTGGATGTAATTTGTAAATCTTAAATTTAAAAAAAAAAAAAAAAAAATAAAAATGAAAATTGAATTTTTCTTTAATTATTAACTTTTTAACAATTCACAATAATATTAACTTTAATATCAGAAGAGTTTTTATTTATTTGATAAGTGGATTTAAAAATTAAAACCAGAAAAGAAAATTAAAACAATTTATTTTTTGCCTTGTTACTTTAAAAATTATTTTGCTTTATTTTAACTTTATTTTTTATCACATATTGGTTGCGTTTTTTTTCGAAAAATATAATAAAATTTCCCCCCCAGTTAAGATTTCCCAAGGTTTTGCCTGATTTTCAAAATTATTCCCCAGATCCCAAGGGGGGTCATGAATTCCCAAGATCTTGGGAAATTTCCCAAGGTGTGGTAGCCCTGCTGGAGAGCAGCTATGTATTTGTTTGTAGAACAAATATTGAGATCCTACTTTTTAAATGTTTTCTTCTTTTCCACCTCCACTAGTGTGACCACATGAGATGAGGGTGTCTTAAATTTGTGAGATATTTGTGATGATGGGGGAGCATCAAAATCGGACAATATATAGTGTGTGGATGGTCCCTTAAGTCATATTAACAGTCTAGTGTGTGCAATAAAATTTAAATGAGCCAGCTACGTTTTATTTTTACAATGAAATACACCTTGCAAAGTTTAGCTATTTCGCATATTTAGGCCTATATGACCTCCCTCCCCCAAACTCAATCGGCCACCAGTGTTTCTTTCAGGCAATTTCCAGAGGGAGGGGTGGGGGGATTTTCAGATTTTTTTTGGGGTGGGTGGGCAGTGCCAGCGGAAAAGAGGCGTAGCTAAGGTGGGCATGTTAAACTGGGAATAAGTAGACAAAAAAGACCTGTCTTACTTCTATTTATCTTACTTCTATTTGTCTTACTTCTATTTGTCTTACTTCTATTTGTCTTTCTTCTATTTGTCTTACTTCTATTTGTCTTATTTCTATTTGTCTTACTTCTATTTGTCTTACTTCTATTTGTCTTATTTCTATTTGTCTTACTTCTATTTGTCTTACTTCTATCTGTCTTACTTCTATTTGTCTTACTTCTATTTGTCTTACTTCTATTTGTCTTGTTTGCTGAGTAAGGCTCTAAGCTGAAACGTTCAAATCATATTGTCCTGTCTATTAATTCAAGCTTAGGAGGCGTTCCCAAATTACGTCACGGTTCGGGGAAGATTGGGGGCGAGAATTTGTGACACTTTGTGACACGGGGAAGGGGGGGGGAGGGTGGTTAAAAATGGGACGTCACACTTTATTATATATACATTTTCTAATTTTGAAATATCTTTATTCAATTAATTTTAAAAACATTCATTTAAGGTAAAAATTGCCCCACGTATTATAAGTAACGTGAACCTCAGTCGCTCACACCTTCTACGCATACCTACAAATAACCCCAAAACTTTTTGTGGCCATTTTACCTTAGCCGCGTGGAGGACTTCGTTGTTGCGCGTCACAGTTTTCTGATAATGCTAGATCTTAATCCAATATGGGAAAATGTTAAAGAATAATAAAAAAAATCTTAGTTTATTTATGAAAATTGTATGCATGTTTTGATTTTTGTTAAGGTGTGACTTGGGGTGGGGGAGGGGTAAAGAATTTGTGAGAGGGGGTCTAAAAAGGCCATTTTTTTGCGTGACGCAATTTGCGAACCAGCCCTTAGCATACCTTTTTCTACTATTCTATTGTTGTTGTTTTTTTAATACTCACAACATTTACATTGTCTGCAGTTGAGTTTATTCATAGATCTTACTTGAATGATTTTCTATTATTTAATAAAAGTGCAATATTGATTTCTGATAAACAAGGTCTGTTTTGTTGACGAAAAAGCCCTGTTTGGGGTTGGTTGTCACACGCTGAAGACAAACAAATTTTGATATCCTTTAGCGTAATACAACTCATATCTACAGAGCTCAATTTTACTTACTTCAATCAAATCAAAATGTAATAAATGGTGAGCCAAAATGTAATAAATGGTGAGCCAAAATGTAATAAATGGTGAGCCAAAATGTAATAAATGGTGAGCCAAAATGTAATAAATGGTGAGCCAAAATGTAATAAATGGTGAGCCAAAATGTAAAAAGTATGGTCACCCACTCCCGCTCTCCCCTAGTGACGACTTGAAGGGGAAAGAACTACCAAACTAAAGCGATTTTCTTTGAACAATTATTCAACCTCCCAAGTCAAGGGTCGCATTGATTCGCCCAGGGTCACAGCGAGGGCACTTGCCCTCCCCCCTCTCCCGCGTTCCTTTTTTTTCTCCACATGTTTCTTTAATAATTATTATTGTAACATCTTTATTTCTCTTACACACACACACTATCTCTCTCTCTTTCATTTTCACTCTCTCTTTCTCTCTTATATTTTTTTCAATTAAGTTTTTATATCTTCTTTGGACTTCAATTTGTTGGTCTCCTTCGCGAAATATGACGCCTGTTGCACTTCTTTAAGGCCCGCCAGCACAACATGCGGCCCGCCTGCACAACATGCGGCCCGCCTGCACGCCTGCCAGCACCCACTTTTATTATTAAATATTCTTTATTACTATTTTCTTAATAGCTTTCGCCCCTGTCCTATTATCTGTCGGCCTGCACAAGTTGTTTTTTTTTTTTTTATAAACTATTACGGCCCGCACAAGTTTTTCATAAAGTGTTATGCACCCACTTTTATTATTAAATATTCTTTATTACTATTTTCTTAATAGCTTTCGCCCCTGTCCTATTATCTGTCGGCCTGCACAAGTTGTTTTTTTTTTTTTATAAACTATTACGGCCCGCACAAGTTTTTCATAAAGTGTTACGGCCCACCTTACATTTTGAGTTTCTGCTTGCCTGCTTTAATGCACTGCTAAGCAACTTTTTTTGTTCCACCCCCCCCACCCCCCAGCCTATATATATATATACCAATTTGGAGGATGTCATCAATCAGTGACCAAGTTGTTGACCATCGCCCAACAACCGGTCAGTCCTGGACACATGACCCCCGTCACTGCAGCCAGCGATAAGCCACGGATTAAATCAATGCCTAATCTTGTCTTTGGAATGACGCAGACACAATCGTGTGATAAAACGGTGATCAATCAGGTGATGCTTCACCGGTCAAAGCGATAACACTAAAATACAAGGCAGCAAATCGCTAGGAGCAGTTGTAAAACACTGCCGCGCTGAAACAACAGCAAGAGTAAAGACGAGGCCGGCCTTGAACCCCCCCCCCCGTTCAATATTACCTTGGGTTTGATTGATTTCAACAAAAAATTTCGCTTTGCTAATTTGGGATGCGGTGGGTGTCATGCGTAAGCATTGATCGAAGTCGTTGAGAAGATGAGATACCGATCAATGGATCGTGCCGTAGTTTTGTGATCTGAGGTACGCCATCTTTTATTTCGGAGTACTTGAAAATTAGGGGGAAGGGACGATGGTTGTGACAAATCACAAGGCTCCACGCAGCTGGTGAACAGAAGGGGACATCAATGCTGGCACCAGGAGTGTCACGGGAGTTATCGTAATTTACATTGAGACAGTGTGGTACCACCTAAAGTTTTCTATTTTTAATTGTTTTTATTTTTTTTGTTTGGGTTATCTCCCTTAGCATTTAACCATTAGTGTTTGACACTGCATCCGAGAACGTTTGACTTAGGATGAATAAAGGGAAAACCAAGACCTTAAGCAATAGATATCTGTCATTGTGTCTACGCTGTCACTGGCATGGCAATAGATCCATGTCATTGTGTCTCCTCTGTCACTGGCATGGCAATAGATCCATGTCATTGTGTCTACGCTGTCACTGGCATGGCAATAGATCCATGTCGTTATGTCTACGCTGTCACTGGCATGGCAATAGATCCATGTCATTGTGTCTACACTGTCACTGGCATGGCAAAGATCCATGTCATTGTGTCTAAACTGCCTCTGGCATGGCAATAGATTTATGTCATTGTGTCTTCGATATCACTGGCATGGCAATAGATCTAAGCCATTGTGTCTACACTGTCCCCGGCGTGGTGGTAGAGCTCCGTGTTTTGCCA